AATCAACACATACACCAAGTTTGAACATTCTAGCTCAATTAGGAAGAGAGTTATCGTGCCCCAAAGTATCAACCACTCAAATTGCTTATCTCTGCTTACCCTAAGCGGAAAATGCTCATCTTCGAACTCCATCAAGGCATTGACCTAATAAACACATACACCAAGTTTGAACATTCTAGCTCAATTAAAAGTTATCGTGTCCCAAAGCATCAACCAATCAATTTGCTTATCTCTGCTTACCCTAAGCGGAAAATGCTCATCTTCGAACTCCATCAAGGCATTGACCTAATCAACACATACACCAAGTTTGAACATTCTAGCCCAATTAGGAAGAGAGTTATCGTGTACCAAAGCATCAACCAATCAAATTGCTTATCTCTGCTTACCCTAAGCGGAAAATGCTCATCTTCGAACTCCATCAAGGCATTGACCTAATAAACACATACACCAAGTTTGAACATTCTAGCTCAATTAGGAAGAGAGTTATTGTGTCCCAAAAAGTGTGACGGACAGACAGACGGACAGACAGACGGACAGACAGACGGACGAACCCATTTTAATAGTCCCCTGCTTTCTTCGAAAGGCGGGGGACAAATATGTCAACTGCGAATATGATGATAGTATTCTTTTCACACGGTGCATACGCCAACCTTTAAGTCTGTACCGATTCAAAAGTTGAATTATCTCTTATATCCACATTTTTTAAATCCCGAGTTTTATCGTAAATAAAATTAATAGAATCACTTGTAACCTACTGGTAATACATGATGTATATTGTGGGGTGTTCTATTCATCGTAGCCCCTTCGTAATTTAGCCATGACAACGGCACCTAATTTGTGTGAAAATCCAGATTGGTCGCGTCCCAATTGTAATTGTTCTTTAATAATGAGATCAACTATTTTGGATAATGATTACTTACTGACAATTCAGAATAAAAGTAGTGTTTACAAGAATACGACATGGCAGCAATTTGTTGTTATGGGGGCTTCTATTTTAGTCAATTATCAATTCCTTTTGATGACACGTGAATTCACGTAATTAATTAGGAACCTTGACTGACAGTATGCATTGACGCAGACTCTTTGGTGCCGAAATGAAAAGGCCATCAAGGTATTATCCGACTGTACATGTGTCCAGCAAGTTTGACGGTGACTTCTGGCTATGTATGTGTGCTTAAAAACAGGACATGAAGGCATTTAATTATTTGTGATTTAAACCCGAAGATATATTACTTGTTCAGGTGTGATTTATCAATTTAAAATGCATTGTGTGACTTATTTGTCAGAATGGAAATGGCTATTTCGATGGACAAAACTTTCGCCCACGGTAAGACCAGCATCTATGTGTGTAAACTTTGAAATTTTTGTAATTTGAATGAATTTGAAATAGTCGATCGATGCAAGTCTTAAAAATGTCGAACATATTGATGAAGTAATGTATCGGTACAGCCATAATTCTGTTTATTTTATTATTTAAAAGCCTGTTTGATATTTGTTTCTTTTCAATATAAGCCAGTAAAATCTGTGTGTCTAACCGTGTTAAATTAACAATCTTTTTTTTTGCATGCCGTATTAGCCGATATTCGACTACGATATCACTGCCGTGGAATCGCACGATAAATAAACCCATTTCAAACCAGCTATGGGTGTGCTTACTGTACATGCGTGGAAAGTCCGACTTTTTAAAATATCGCGGTGGTTTTAGATAATCGTGGAGGTCGGCGGTTTATTTAAATTCGCAAGGGAAATTTAGAGCGGGAAGTGTACTGTAGCGTCGAAAAATGACAAAAAACAATTTCTTGCAATTTATTCTCGGTCCATCACTATTTTCTGCTATTTTTACTCGACTATTTGGGTTATAAACTTACATTTCAAGTTTCAACAAAATCGGATAAAAATTGTGACCTCTATAGGGTCCACAACCTTGATATACCATATTTTTAAGCTATTTGAGAACGAACGGCGGCCATTTTGTCTGTCAATTTTGGGTCGATTTTCATGAAATTCGAATTCGGCCATCCTTAGGGTGTAACGGTGATATAATAAAACGATTTTTTAAATCGGATAAAAATTATGACCTCTATAGGGTCCACAAGCTAAAAACGTGATTTTTTGACAATCAGGGGCCATGCGCGAATATCGAAAGGATCCGAGATCTTTGGGTTATCAACTTACATTTCAAGTTTCAACAAATTCGGATAAAAATTGTGACCTCTATAGTGTCCACAAGCTAAAAACGTGATTTTTCGTACAAACAGGGGCCATAATCCATGAAGTTTCGATCCGATACATGCCAATATTGAAAGCAGCCGAGATATTTTGGAGATAAACCTATATTTCAAGTTTCGTCAAAATCGGATAAGAATTGTGACCTGTAGAGTGTCCACAAACAATTGTGGACGGACGGACAGGGGCGACGGCATAATACGTCCAGATGAAAATGTGGGCGTATAAAAATTGTGAGCTCTATAGGGTCCACAACCTTGATATACCATATTTTTACGCTATTTGAGAACGAACAGCGGCCATATTGTCTGTCAGTTTTGGGTCGATTTTCAAGAAATTCGAAACTCTATAGGGTCCACAAGCTAAAAACGTGATTTTTTGTACAATCAGGGACCATAATTCAGGAAGTTACGGTCCGATATGAGCAAATATCGAAAGGAACCGAGAATTTTGGGTTATAAACTTACATTTCAAGTTTCAACAAAATCGGATAAAAATTGTGACCTCTATAGGGTCCACAACCTTGATATACCATATTTTTACGCTATTTGAGAACGAACGACGGCCATTTTGTCTGTCAATTTTAGGCCGATTTTCACAAAATTCGAACTCAACCTTCCTTACGGTGTAACGGTGATATAATAATACGGTTTTTTAAATCGGATAAAAATTATGACCTCTATAGGGTCCACAAGCTAAAAACGCGATTTTTCGTACAATCAGGAGCCATAATTCAGGAAGTTACGGTCCGATATGCGCGAAGATAGAAAGGAACCGAGATCTTTGGGTTATAAACTTACATTTCAAGTTTCAACACAATCGGATAAAAATTGTGACCTCTATAGTGTCCACAAGCTAAAAACGTGATTTTTCGTACAAACAGGGGACATAATCCATGAAGTTTCGATCCGATACATGCCAATATCGAAAGCAGCCGAGATATTTTGGAGATAAACCTATATTTCAAGTTTCGTCAAAATCGGATAAGAATTGTGACCTGTAGAGTGTCCACAAACAATTGTGGACGGACGGACATCTGGACGGACAGGGGCGACGGCATAATACGTCCACATGAAAATGTGGGCGTATAAAAATTGTCACCTATATAGGGTCCACAACTTTGATATACCATATTTTTACTCTAGTTGAGAACGAACAGCGGCCATATTGTCTGTCAGTTTTGGGTCGATTTTCACGAAATTCGAAACTCCATAGGGTCCACAAGCTAAAAACGTGATTTTTCGTACAATCAGGGGCCATAATTCAGGACGTTACGGTCCGATATGAGCGAATATCGAAAGGAACCGAGAATTTTGGGTTATAAAATTACATTTCAAGTTTCAACAAAATCGGATAAAAATTGTGACCTCTATAGGGTCCACAACCTTGATATACCATATTTTTACGCTATTTGAGAACGAACGGCGGCCATTTTGTCTGTCAATTTTGGGCCGATTTTCACGAAATTCGAACTCAACCGTCCTTGGGGTGTAACGGTGATATAACACAACGTTTTTTTAAATCGGATAAAAATTATGACCTCTATAGGGTCCACAAGCTAAAAACGCGATTTTTGGTACAATCAGGGGCCATAATTCAGGAAGTTACCGTCCGATATGCGTGAATATCGAAAGGAACCGAGATCTTTGGGTTATAAACTTACATTTCAAGTTTCAACAAAATCGGATAAAAATTGTGACCTCTATAGTGTCCACAACCTTGATATACCATATTTTTACTCTATTTGAGAACAAACGGCGGCCATGGTATAACCTTGATATACCATATTTTTACTCTATTTGAGAACGAACGGCGGCCATTTTGTCTGTCAATTTCGAGCCGATTTTCACGAAATTCGAACTCAGCCAACCTTAGGGTGTAACGGTGATATAATTGAACGTTTTTTTAAATCGGATAAAAATTATGACCTCTATAGGGTCCACAAGCTAAAAACACGATTTTTGGTACAATCAGGGGCCATAATTCAGGAAGTTACGGTCCGATATGCGCAAATATCGAAAGGAACCGAGATCTTTGGATTATCAACTTAGATTTCAAGTTTCAAGAAAAACGGATAAAAATTGTGACCTCTCCACAACATTGATATACCATATTTTTACGCTATTTGAGAACGAACGACGGCCATTTTGTCTGTCAATTTCGGGCCGATTTTCACGAAATTCAAACTCAGCCATCCTTAGGGTGTATCAGTAATATAATTGAACGGTTTTTTAAATCGGATAAAAATTATGACCTATAGGGTCCACAAGCTAAAAACACGATTTTTGGTACAATCAGGGGCCATAATTCAGGAAGTTACGGTCCGATATGCGCGAATATCGACAGGAACCGAGATCTTTGGATTATCAACTTAGATTTCAAGTTTCAACAAAATCGGATAAAAATTGTGACCTCTATAGTGTCCACAAGCTAAAAACGTGATTTTTCGTACAAACAGGGGCCATAATCCATGAAGTTTCGATCCGATACATGCCAATATCGAAAGGAACCGAGATCTTTTGGAGATAAACCTATATTTCAAGTTTCGTCAAAATCGGAAAAGAATTGTGACCTGTAGAGTGTCCACAAACAAATTGTGGACGGACGGACAGGGGCGACAGCATAATACGTCCACATGAAAATGTGGGCGTATAAAAAAGTAGTTCCTTTTCAACTGACTAATCAAATTCATGTAAAGATTATGAAATATATCACACAAGCGATATCTACTGTAGAATGTATTATTGGGTGATATTAAAGATACATATACTTACTGTCCCTTTCCTTACGCCTAGCCCGCTTTCTACGTTTGTCTATTGATGCTACTTCTGCTTTTAGTTTAAAATATACCATACGGATTTCTTTCATTTTCTCAGTTATAAATTCTATCTTTTGTTCACCTTCTAATAAAATTCCCTCACCTATAAAAAACAAAGCTTTGCCATTGAATAAAACATACACCAACCAGCTACTTTTTTCGTACTATATTGGCTAGAAAGATGGTTTAAGTGAGACAAAAATGTCCCAGTGATGTATGGACATTTATATGAAATATATCATTTTAAATCCAAGACTGTGATGAATTAACACCTTACTGATATTAAAGCAAACAGGTGGACGAAACCCTATACAGTGCAGGCAAAATCATCCAAGTGATAGAGTTGGGGACAAAAGGAAGAATGCAGTTGCCATAGAGGTGAGCAACAATTCAATATTTGGATTTATTCTGGTATGAAGTGTTCATTTTATATCGACAATGTCCAGTTTTGACATGTCGACTTATCGTAGCATATGTTTTTTTCATCAGCCACACGTCTCACCACGATATAAATTTACATTTCGCATGTCATGTCTGTCAAAGACAATGTAATGTCCAGGGAATTAATGGGCCGTGTAGGGTCGTAGCTCTTTTAAAGGCTGACCCTGGCAATTGATTGATCACTTGCAAAGACATCACTTGCAAAGACATCACAACACAATGTAACCAGCGGCTGCCAGGCAGGATATGCCCACATTTTGCAAGAGATGGATAGAGAACAAGCTAAAAAGAAAGCGATTTTTCGTACAATCAGGGGCCATAATTCAGGAAGTTACGGTCCGATATGCACAAATATCGAAAGGAACCGAGATCTTTGGATTATAAACTTACATTTCAAGTTTCAACAAAATCTGATAAAAATTGTGACCTCTACAGTGTTCACAAGCCAAAAACGTGATTTTTCGTACAATCAGGGGCCATAATCCATGAAGTTACGGTCCGATAGATGCCAATATCGAAAGGAATCGAGATCTTAGGGTGATAAACCTATATTGTACAATCAGGGGCAATAATCCAGAAAGTTATGGTCTGAAATGCGCAAATATCAAAAGGGACTAAGATCTTTGGGATATAAAGATATGATTTAAGTTTCATCAGAATCGGAAAAAAAATTGTGACCCCTAGAGGGTTCACAACCTTCCTATTGCATACTTTAACACAATTTGCCATAATTCAGGAAGTTAAGTTCAGGTATCCGCGATTATCAAAAGGATCCATGATCTTATTGTGTAAGAGTGATATATTCACACATTTTTTTTAAATCAGATAAAAATTGTGACCTCTACAAGGACCACAAGCTAAAAATGCGATTTTTCGTAAATCAAGGGCCATAATTCAGTAAGTTACTATCCGATATGCCGAATATCGAAAGGAACCAAGATCTTTGGGTTATTAACTTACATTTCAAGTTTCATAAAAATCAAAAGAAAATTGTGACCTCTAGAGGGCCCACAACATTGATATACCATATTTTTACACTATTTGAGTACGAGGGACGGCCATTTTGTCTGTCAACTTTGGTCCGACCCTTCGGTGTAATGGTGATATATTCGAACGTTTTTTTAAATCGGATAAAAATTATGAACTCTATAGGGTCCACAAGCTAAAAACGCAATTTTTCGTACAATCAGGGGCCATAATTCAGGAAGTTACTGTCAGATATGCGCGAATATCGAAAGGAACCAAGATCTTTGGGTTATAAACTTACATTTCAAGTTTCAACAAAATCGGATAAAAATTATGACCTCTATTGGGTCCACAACCTTGATATACCATATTTTTACGCTATTGAGAACGAAGGGGGGCCATTTTGTCTGTCAGTTTTGGGCCAATTTTCACGAAATTCAAACTTAGCCGTCCTTAGGGTGTAATGGTGATATACTTAAAACGATTTTTTAAATCGGATAAAAATTATGACCTCTATAGGGTCCACAAGCTAAAAACTTTATTTTCCGTACAATAAGGGGCCATAATTCAGGAAGTTACGGTCCAATATGCGCGACCATCGAAAGGAACCAAGATCTTTGGGTTATAAACTTATATTTCAAGTTTCAGCAATATCGTAGAAGAATTGAGACCTCTATAAGGTCCACAACCTTGATATACCATATTTTTACGCTATTTGAGAACGAGGGGCGGCCATTTTGTCTGTCAGTTTTGGGCCGATTTTCACTATATTCGTCAGCACCCACCTGGCTATATTGCGCCAAACATATGGTGATTTATGTGAGACAAGTTAAATAAATATCACGGATAAAGTATTATATGCATAAATAAAACAATATCACAGTAAATAGAATTAAAAATAAAATAAACCTTTTAGGCATATTAATATTTAAAATACAAAAATGAAATGATAAATATACAATTAAAATTTATGATAAAAACATGTCTCTTTTAAAAAGTCTAGTAGGTTACAATATAAGCCCGGTTGGGCAAATAAATGACATAGAGACTGGCAACGGTAATATTTCGATCTTATGTTCCTGAGATGATTGCACTCAATCAAAATGTTCTTCACAGTCAAAGGAACATGACAGTGAACACATTTCGGTTGAGGCTCTCGCTTCAAAATGAAAATGTGTGTTAAAAAGGTATGACCAATGCGAGAGCGACACAAAACAACTTCATCCCTCCTGTTGGTTCTATAGGAGTTGGGCCAGTCTCCTAAGAGAGGCTTAATGTGATGAAGTTTATTTGTGCCTGCAAGATCCCAAGACCATTGCCAGCGGCCATAAATGAAATGATTAATGCAAGATTTAAAATCTGTGTATGGAATTAAAAAATAGGATAAGGGAAGATCTAAGGCAGACTTGGCAGCCAAATCTGCTTGATCGTTCCCTTTTATATCCATGTGACTGGGGAGCCAGCAAAGGACAATGTCCTTGCTGCTCAACTCGTGTGATAGTAGCAGATGGTAAATATCTGCTACTAATGGTGATCAAGCTGTTTGTTATTTATTGCTTGTAATGATGACAAAGAATCAGTAAAAATAATATATTTTAAATTGGATGATGGTTGAATGAACTCTAAAGCCTGAAGAATGGCCTGGAGTTCAGCTGTAAAAATGGAAGCAGCAGGTGGAAAGCGAACAGAAATGGTTTCAGATGGTGTCACTGTAGCCAAAGCTACCCGATCATCATCTTTCGAACCATCTGTATATATTGGAGCATAATCACCATTTTTAGACCTTAGCTCTTGAAAGAGAGACTGAAAAACCGTCAAGCTAGTATCTCTCTTCTTATGTTGAGTAAGATCAAAATCGATCTTTGGGGGCGATATAGCCCACGGTGGAGTCCTAAAGAAAGGGGTATTCGTAATACTGTCAAGGCTGATACCAGCCTCCGACAAAAGGGGTTGTATGCGAATACAGAATGGTGGAATAACTTTAGTCTTGAGCAGATATAAATGCTCATGATAGGGTCTAAATATGGAGTTAAATGAACAAGCCAACAGTGAGGCTGATGTCCCCTGCCGAAATAGGAAAATAATTAGAGGACACATATAAATTTATCACAAATTATCTTTTACAAAGTATTGAACAATCAAACAGTATATCTTTACTTATAGTCTAAGCATACAATGTTTTTGATGGAATAATTATAGCATATTAAGGGGAAAACATGCTCTATGCCTACAGATCTAGAGTTTGGTTGTATCAACGGGTCTATTTTCCATCTTGCTGCAAGTTGTGCAAAGTTCACTGTTTTCTTTCTGTCATTAAATGTCAATTCATTATTGCATACTACATATTTAATTAATTTATAATAGTTTCTTTTTCAATTTGTTTTTTCCATTTATTTGTTTATTTACCTTGCCTATATTCATTGTATTGGATTGTATTGGAATTGCTCAATTGATGCTTTTATCAATACCTGGTTATAATATTATGACATGTAATGTGGCAAGTTGAGTCGGGACATGTAGGCTATAATGTAACCTAAATGTATACATAAGTGGATTTCGTTTCATTTTTTTCGAAAATATTGTACAGATAAAAGAGGAGGAATTACAGGGGTAATACATTGGAAAGCTTCTTCAAGAACTAAAGCATAAACTATATAAACGAGCTTATAAAAAGGAAAAGTTTGTATAAAGACGTTTCGTTTGCACAACTGGGTGATGATAACCAATTTTGAACATTTTAACTCAATTCGAAGGAGTGTGACGGACAGACAGACAAACAGACGACGGACGAACCCATTTTAATAGTCCCCTGCTTTCTTCGAAAGGCGGGGGACAATAAGCATACACACCAATTTTGAACATTTTAACTCAATTCGAAGGAGAGTTATTGTGTTCCAAAGTCTCAGCAAATCAAATTGCTTATCGCTCTGCTTAATCTGAGCAGAAAATGCTCATTATCGATCTTAGTCAAGGTATTACTGTAATGAAACTATACACCAAGTTTCATCACTCTCACTTAATTAGAACTAAAGTTATAGTGTCCCAAAGCATCAACCAATCAAATTGTTTATCTACTTAATTAGAACTAAAGTTATAGTGTCCCAAAGCATCAACCAATCAAATTGTTTATCTCTGCTTACCCTAAGCGGAACGGACAGACAAACAGACAGACGGACGAACCCATTTTAATAGTTCCCTGCTTTCTTCGAAAGGCGGGGGACAATAAGCATGAACATTTACTCAATTCGAAGATCAACCAATCAAATTGTTTATCTCTGCTTACCATAAGCGGAACGGACAGACAGACAAACAGACAGACGGACGAACCCATTTTAATAGTTCCCTGCTTTCTTCGAAAGGCGGGGGACAACCAAAGTAGGAGAGTTATTGTTTTCCAAAGTCTCGACCAATCAAATTGCGTATCGCTCTGCTTACCCTGAGCAGAAAATGCTCCTTATCTTAAACTTAGTCAAGGTATTACTGTAATGAAACTATACACCAAGTTTCATCAATCTCACTTAATTAGAACTAAAGTTATCGTGTCCCAAAGCATCAACCAATCAAATTGCTTATCTCTGCTTACCCTAAGCGGAAAATGCTCATCTTCGAACTCCATCAAGGCATTGACCTAATCAACACATACACCAAGTTTGAACATTCTAGCTCAATTAGGAAGAGAGTTATCGTGCCCCAAAG